CAGAAATAACCCATCAAGAATAGATAATAACTGTAAATATATGGAGGCCAAATTTGGGACTTCTTAACTTTGTAAAACAAACAGTAATGGAAATAAAAGGTGAGCTAGGTCAAGATCCAATAATAGTGGATAACTCTGGGATGCCACTCTCATCTTTAGATAGGCAATGAAAACTAAAACTCAGCGAGAAAACTTCATATGGACTATGCCATAGATAAAATGGACCTAATATATCTATAGAATATGCACTCTTCTCAGAAGCCCATGAACTTTGTCTCAAATAGACCACATTCTTGATCACAAAGCAAGTCCAAGCAAATTCATAAAAATTAAAATGATTCCTTACAACTTATTAGATCATAGTAGAATAGAACTGAGTAACAAGAGAAACTACACAAAGATTGGAGACAGACTGGTGAACTCTTGAATAACCTAGTGAGTCATTGAAGTGGGAGTTATTAAATTCTTAAAATGAAATTTTAATGAAAATTAAATCACAACCACAGTATACTTACAATGTAAGTAATTCAGTTCTAAGGGAAAAGCTTATAGCTATGAGTATTTACTTTAAGAAATCTGAGCAATCTCAAATAAATAGTCTGATGATGCATATTGGGGGCTTAGAAAAGTGAGAAGCAGCAAAGAAACCGTTCTGCTACAGAATGGAGGAGACGGCCTACAGAATGGAGGACATGTAGTTACCAATTGCACATCAATCAGGAGATTAACATTTAAAAGCTACAAAAACTGAACCACCAGAACAAGAAATAAACAATCCATTTATGAGTGAGCTGAGGAACTGAGCAGATGGGTCTCAGAACAAGAAGCACAAATCACTAATAAACATTTGAAAGGATGTTTGTTATCTTTAGCCATCAGGAAATTGCAAATTAAAACTGCTTTGAGAATCAATTTCACCCTATCAGAATGGCTATCATCAAGAAAATATACAATGACCCTTACACACTATTATGTGGTTTTAACATGAGGAACGAGTTCTATATCTGCAGGTGATGTGAAAAGCAAGATAATGAGTATGGCCGGGGAAGTGTCTGTAATAATGATGGCATAGAGATACTACCTTCAGTGTGTACAGATATTTTGTAAACCAGTAAGAAAACGGTAATATGAGTTTTTAATGTCACCAAAATATGCATAGCAAAGTACACACAAAGCATTTGCATGACACTTTTAAAAGTAATTACATATATGGGGAGAGGGTTCTTGTGGCTTCTGGAGCCATAAAGATTTAGTTGAGGTTCCCCAACAAGACACCAAAAAGTCCTCTCATCATATTATCAAATAGCAATATTTTAAAAACTCAAATTATGGAGATGGCAATATCTTATTAGAAATCATTTGGTGTCTTAGAAACTCCAAGAATTGTTTTCAGGATTACATTTTTTTTTTCGTAAAGCAATGAGAAAGAAAAGACAGTAACTAACTCAAAGGGTCAGCCAGGGAAGGAAGTGTTTCAGTGGTAAGATCTGAAAATTATCATGTGTCATGGGAAGTCCTTTTGGCTATAACGATTATTTCCAGACATGCCAGGAAAATTAGACCTGAGTGCAAAGTACATTCCTCATATGTAATGCCAAGATTAGCCATGGTTTAAGCCAAAAGGAAAGGGGATATGTTCAAGCTTTCATATACAGAGACAGAGACACAGACAGAGAATTTTCCATATTTCAGTTTTGTTGGTGTGTGAGATTATTTATTGCCTGTGTTTTCATGGGTGTAGTTAACCTCCTTGGAGTGGAATTTTCCTTCTAGTACTTTCTCTAGGGCTTGATTTATGGGTAGATATTGTTTAAATTTGACTTTGTTTTGAAATATTTTGTTTTCTCCATTTATGATAAGTAAAGTTTTGTGGGTATAGTAGTCTGGGCTGGCACCTGTGGTCTCTTAGAGTCTGCAGGATATATGTCCAGACCCTTCTGGCTGTTAATAGTCTCCATTGAGAAGTTGGGTATAATTCTAATAAGTCTACCTTTGTATGTTGCTTGTCTTTTTTCCCTTGCAGCTTTTAATATTCTTTCTTTGTTCTATATAAGGATTCAGACATTATGCTGACCCTACCCCCTGACAACTGTCATTCAGGCAGCTGCTTAGACAGCTCAAAGGGCCCTGTGTTGTTACAGGTTCAGAGGCAAGACACCACTACAGTTCTGTATATTTTGTTTTTTGATTATTGTGTGGCAAGGGGTCTTTCTTTATTGATACAATACATTTTGGCATTCTGTATGCTTTTTGTACCTTTATAGGCATTTCCTTCTTTAGGTGAGGAAAATAATTCTTCTATGACTTTGTTAAAAATATTTTCTAGGCCTTTGAACTGAGATTCTTCTTCTATTCCTATTATTCTTAGATTTGATCTTTTCATGGTGTCTCAGATTTCCTGGATGTTTTGTGTTAGAAACATTTTAGATTTAATATTTTCTCTGACTGATTAATCTATTTCTTCAATGCCTGGGATTCTCTCTTCCATTTCTTGTATTCGGTTGGTGATGCTTTTGTCTATAGCTGCTGTTCACTTATCTAGATTTGCCATTTCCATAGTTCCCTTAGTGTGTGTTTTCTTTATTGCTTCTATTTCCATTTTCAGATCTTGAACAGTCTCCTTCAACTGTTTGTTTTTTTCTTGGCTTTCTTGGTATTTGAGGGATTTATTAATTTCCTCTAGTTTATTGTTTGTATTTTCTTCAATTTCTCTAAGTGAGTTTTTCACTTCCTCTTTAAGGACAGCTATTGTCTTCACAAAGTTGATTTTAAGGTCTTTGTGTGTGTGTGTGTGTGTGTGTGTGTGTGTGTGTGTGTGTGTGTGTGTGTGCTTCAGCTGCATTGAAATATTTAGGTCCTGCTGGCATAGGATCACTGGGCTCTGGTGGTGCCATATTGCCCTTTCTGTTACTGATTGTGTTCTTATACTGGTGGTTAGGCATCTGGGTTTAGAATAATTATAGATATAGGTGCTAATTTCTAGTTTGTGCATGTTGAATGGATGTTTTGCTCCTTAGTTTCTGATTCCCATTTGATCTTCTGGTCATTGTGGCCTGTGTTTCTGTCAACAGACATGACTTCTGATCCAATAGGAAGTCTCTGTCCAAGTTGGAATTGGACTTCTGGCAGCTAGGTTAGCTTGACCTTTGGCACAATAAGGAGTCTCTGCCTGCATTGGGGGTCAGGATATGTTGTGGAGGAAGGGAGTGAGGATTGAGGCCACTGAATGAGTGGAGGACGTCCATTGGCTGGCCACCTACCTATGGTTCTGGGAGCCAATGAGGTCTCTGATACAGTAGGAGTCTCTGCTTGAGATCAACTGTGTGGTTTTCTGACTTGCTTGTTGTGCACCTCTTCTTCTGACTGCTATGGCCTGCTCTTGGGCAGGTGCTCTGACCGCCATGGCCTGCCTGTGGGCAGGTGTTCTGACTGTCATGTTCTGCTCCTGGGCAGGTGTTTTGACTGCCATGGCCTGCTCTTAGGCAGGAGCTCTGACTTCTATGGACTGCTCCTGGGCAGGTGTTCTGACTGCCATGGCCTGCTCCTAGGCAGGAGTTCTGACTTCCATGCTCCTGGGCAGCTGCTCTGACTTCCATGCTCCTGGACAGGTGCTCTGACTGCCACAGCCTGTTCCTGAGCAGCAGAAGTCTGCCTGAGTTGAGGCAGGAGGAACAGACATGGAGGAAATAGCAGTGGGACAAGACAGGGGGCAATAGAATGGTTCTTTGGGAACCAAATCTAAGGGGTATGACAGTTCTGCTAGCTGGTGGATCACTTGCCTATTCTTTTTAATTTTTTGGTTTTTATGAGACAGGGTTTCTCTGTATTGTTTTGGAGGCTATCGGTCCAGCCCGGCCTTGAATTCACAGAGATCCGCCTGCCTCTGCCGCCCGAGTGCTGGGATTAAAGGCGTGCGCCACCACTGCCTGGCATCACTTGCCTATTCTTGTGACTGGTGTGTCCTGTGTCTGAACAGTGGACATCTGCCCATGTTGGAGGCAGGCGCATGGGCAGGGTGAGTGTTTGGGACCTGAAACTAGGGAATGGAGCAATTCTACTGGTAGGTGAATCACTCCTAAAAATATAATTTTTAAAAATTAAAGAAAAAATAATATTTGTGTTAGCATCTGTAGAGTTACAGTAATAGTCTTTATTCCATCTTCTCTTTGTTCTGTATCAATAAATGTCTACTATAGCTGTGAGGCCTTTCTGGATTACAGAACTTAACTTTTCCCACCTAGTATATTTGGTATTACTAGTCAATGCTACTGAAATTTATCTATTACCTTATAAGTCATTGTCCACATTGCCTAGAAAGGGTGTTTCTCTTTGCCAAGTTCCTTTTAAGTTGACTGTGGTGACTCACACCTGCAACCTCACCACTCAAGAGACTGAAGTAGGAGAATTACTGTGACTTCTAGGCCAGCCTGGGCTATGGGGAAACACTTCTTCCAAAAAATGTATAAATTAATGTAATTAAAAGCTGCTTTGGGTTTGAGCCCTGCAGTTAAGCACTTAAAAATCTCCACCGTGAGATTCCAGCCAGAGTCAGGCAGTCAGGCCAATGACCTGTGCAGATCATGACTAACTAGTCAAATGCACGGCAGTTAGTTAAACATCTATAATTGGAACAAATGCTAAGAGTCAAGACTTATAAATTCTCTAACACATTTAGAGAAGGTGGCCCCATTTGTCATTGTCAGGAAAAGCCTTCCCAAGGAAGAGTGGCATTAGTTAGCCTGTCGGGCAGCCATAGGGAACTAGAATGGAAGGAGAACTTAGGCTGGTGCAAGTTTGATGCTTTTGAGGGTCTGTCTTCACGAAGGTAGCAAACAGAAAGATTAGGTTGGGTAAGGAGGGCAACCTCTCATGAAGGTGTGAAGAACTTTTGGACCTCATTCAGAGGAGGGCCCTCACAGGTAGGGCTACAGTCACACTTCTGGGTAGCCCATGAAATCGAAAGCAAGTGACTCTTTGTCATTTCTCTGTCTCTTGGTCAGGAATACAACTGGAGGAACTATCAGCCCAGCCAAATGAGTGAATGTGAGCTACAAATGCTAGCAAGCCTCCGACGGCAGCAGAATGAGGACCTGGAAGACACTGGGGCTCCTCATGGCCTGAGTGCATCCCAAATGGACAACTGTAATGTTAGCATCAGTACCAGCAGTGATGACACAACCACATGGAACTCTTGTCTGCCACCTGTGAGTTCTAAACTTTGCATCTATTCCCTTGCCTTCAAAAGGAGCAAGCCCATTTCTAACAAAACCTAACCTTTTCCAGGAAAAGTAGAGCCCAAACAAGGTACCCACCATGAGAAACATACACAGCGCCTTGTGGGATAGTCTTTTAGGGGAGGGACAGATAATAGAGGGTGCCTTTGTCTTGTCTTACATTGTCTTAGACCCTCTTGGAAATGTGTGTATGACGATTGGTTGACTTAGTTCTCTTTGGTTCTGCACAATAAATGAGAACCAGGTCATTTATAAACACAAATATCTATTTTATTTAGTTCTAAAATCTGGAAAGTCCAGGGTCAAAGGACATACATTTGTCAAAGGTATTATTTATGCATCATCCTCTGATAGTAGGGAGAATGGTCATGGTTATGTGGAGTCAGAGTAGACTAGTAGAATGGAGCTCAATGAATCTTTTTACCATGAACTCACTCCCACAATAATGGGATTAACTCATTCATGGTCACAGAATCTTCACAATCTAACCACCTCTTAAATAACTCTCCTCTCTTCTCCTTCATGTAGGCAATTAAGTTTCTTATATGTGGACTTTGGAGGGGAGGGGTCCTCAAATCATAGCAGTATATAAAATCTTGCAATGAAATGGGCTCTGACAATTCCTGCTCCTAACATAAGCCTTTTGCCACATAAAAGAGACTTAATATTTTCATTGAAATGCTTATTAAACGAATGAACAAAGTGGAAAAGACTGTAGACATACTAAATACTGTTCCCATGTAAGGACAGAGAAGACCTTCTTTAGAAATCACTAGATGTTTGCTGACTCCTCTGTGTTTGAGGGGTCATGATAGGAGTTACAGATACCTTTTCCAAAGGTTTACATCCCCATGTGTTTACATGGTAAAACATATTAGCATAGCCATCACCCTCACCATGGCCCAGCAGAGAATGAAATATAAAATCTCTGACTAAGCTTATACATAGCTATATAAAGTTAGGAATGTAGCACAGTGGTCGAGTCCTTGCCTAGCATGTGTGTCATCCTGGCTTTCATCCCCAGCACTGAAACACTTTAATAAGCAAAAGCTGAGTCTTCTTCATGCAGACTGACTGCAATCCCAACTAAAATAGCATGAGAATAGTTCTGAGTTCCACAGTGCAACATAGGTTCCTGACCATCTCTTGCCTGCTTCCTTAGATGCCAACTGGAAATAATAAAAGGTCTCATAATAAAAACTTAAATTAGGGACTGGAGAGACCAGCCATCATTTAAAAGTACTCACTGCTCTTTTGAGGACCTGAGTTTGGTTCCCAGCAACCATATGGTGACTCACAGCCCTCTGTAACTCCAGCTCCAGAGGATTCTATACCCTCTTCTGGCCTCCACAGGCACCAGACACATACGTTGTACACATACAAACATGCAGACAAATCCAGGCACATAAAATAAAAGTTAAACCTTCAAAATTGTTAAATTATGTTTTAAACCTGCATAAATACTAACTTCAGATGTGACAGAGAAGTTTTATATATTTAACAAGTACTCATTTTGCCATCTGCTTTAATCTTAAAGCTGGTTTCTCCAGGTCTCTAACATCTTGGTGGGCCTTCCATGTTTGAGCAGTGCCCTCATGTCATAGTCACCTGAGCGTTTCCAGCTGTCATTAGTGTTTCCACTCCCCAGCGAGAACCCGAGGCTCTGGCTCTCTTCCTGGTAATTCTTGGTCTGTGAGTTGCTTGCCAAGTAGCTGCTACAGACAACCAGTGGAAAGCTAGACTCCTGTGCTCCTGAGAGAACATGCAGCTCATCATGGCAGGTGAAACCAAATAGACTCCAAGGAGATGAAAAGTGGGGATATCACCACCAGTGTTCAGTTAGTGACTTTTCTCTCCCTCTCCCCTACCCCCAGCTTCCTCATGCTTAATTTATGATTTCATTAGACATGGCCATGGATGCATAAGAACTCTTGCAACGGCCTTGGTGCTGGACAGTATCCACCACCCAGGAAAATACCTGTGTCCCCGAGACATTGACCATACAGCATCCTCTCACCAAAGTGAAAAGCATAAAGGTCTATTTCAGACAGAAGTGAAACATGCCTTTCTATAGAATATTCCTCAGCAGTCATTTAAACCCCAGTTAGAAAGAGAACAGTGGCCTCTGGATGGAGCTTATTTTGTCAGGAAGTAGCTCAGAGACCAGCAGTACAGAGGGCAAGCTGAGGAATGATTATTTATGGACTGAGAAGTCTGAACTCTTGGTTGCCCTGGATACCGGGTTCTCATCACTGTCCTGTTCTGGCAAGAACTGAAGTCTCCTGCATGACAAGTACTCTGCTCTAAAAGCAAACGGCCAAAAATAACACCATTAGTAATGAACTTAATAACCCCTCTATTCAACCAAATGAGAAATTGAAAAGTCTATTTTTTAGACAGAAAATTTTGAAAATCCTACCTTTTGTATTCATAGGATATGTTTATTATTTCATCAAATTCAGTTTGCTCCAATATTGGAACTATCAACAAATGGGAAATTGCATTCCATAATGAAATCTGCATCCTACTGCTCGTGTGGAGTTTAAATAGAGCAATTTACAAGTATTGTTTCAGGCTCTCTGAGAGCTCGTGCTTTTCCCTCAGAAAAGGTGTGGAGATGGCAAAAGCAAAATGAAAGGCCTTCTGATGTCACCATTAGGATGCCCTGCCCTACTTTTGTCTCAATGAATGGTGCTCCCTTCCCATGACCCTCCATCCAGACGATTGGAAGTCATCGCCCACATTTTTATTCCCCCATAGCCATATTGGTCTTCAGATACTAAGGCTCTTCTATTTGTTTCTTTTTTAATTAAGTTTTTTAGATTTATATATTTTACTTTATGTGTGCATTCCCGGTGCCCTCAGAGGTCAGAAGAGGATGTCGGATCCACTAGCACCGGAGTTCTGAATGGTGCAAATCACCATGTGAGTGCTGAGACGCCCACACCAGGGCCTCTGCCAGAGCACCAAGTAGTCCTAACTGATGAGCCATCTCCCCACCTCTTTGCTTCTTAGTCCCCACTGCCTCACGCCACAGACTTGGCATGCTGCTGTTTGTCTGAACCTATGCAGCAGTACCTGGCCTCTACTCCATGTACCACAGGCTGTGGGTTAGGAGCACTGGTTCTAAAGTCATAGTGTGGGGAATCAAAGCCAGCCCGTTACCTTGTAAAGCAACTGGTGCTGAATTGGAAACATAATAAGCACTTAGTAAAAACCTTGGGTTTCAGAGATGGCTCAGGTATTAAGAACACTTGCATCTCTTGCAGAGGGCCTGGATTCTGTTCCCTGTATCCATGTCAGACAGCTCAGAATATCTAACACCCTCTTCTGGTCTCTTTAGGTACACACACACGGCATATACTCACACAGACATACACACATAAACAAAGTAAATCTTTTTTTAAATGTAATTCTCATTTTGCACACTAGACCTCTGTAAAGCCCAGGTCTGCTCGGCTCTCTCCCTTCTGTAAAGCCCTTCAGTGGTGCCTCACGGCCTCTTGAGTCTGGCACAGAGGCCTCTGCGCTCTAAGAAATGCCCATGTCAGCCTCAACAGTCTCTTCTCTGCACCCTTCACTCCATGCTTTCAAACCACTCTGTGAATATACATGTGTCTTGTACTAGATTATCCCTCAGACAGCTCCAGAACTTTCTGAGACTCTACTCTAGGCCTCACTGTGAAAACTATATCTTATTTTATACCCTAGAATCAGGAAGAAGTAGTTCATCCCAAACTTGGGTTTGTCACATTCATTCATTCTGCACCTTTTTCTAGTATAATGTATTGGGAAGTAGGCTGAGGTTGGGGATATAACTTGTCCTCATCTTAAGATGTTCACAGAGGCAAAGGCCCTGAAATCCAGGATGGTGATAATAAAATGAAAAACTATAGGATGATGTAGGAGGAGCAAGTAATTTGGCTTTTGGGTTCCAGGTGTGCTTTCAGAGAAGGCATCGGTGAAGTCAAAGTTCAAGAATGTTTGCACATTTACACGTAGACAAAAGGGGGGGCAGAGTTTCAGATTCCAAAAAGGAGCAGACACATCTGTGGAGGTGAGGACACAGTCTCACCCTGGACAAGCCTCTGCCTCTCTTCAGCTACACAGAGCAGGAAACTCACCACTCCTACCTAGCCCACGGCATCCAGCACATGCACAGAAGATTGACGCGACTCCAGCCACACTGTGTCACCTGGCCATCACTGGGGGAGCCCCTGCCCCTGCTCAGTCCAGAGTGCTCTTCCATACCACTCCTCCCTTTGAGACACACCCACTTGTTGCCTGTCTGTCTGTGTTTGGTTGTTTCTGTTACCTGCTTTGCTTACACAGTGGCTTCTTAGGAAAGAATTCTTGTATATTCATGTATTTGTGATGGGTGCACACCATGGCACACGTGTGGAGGTTGGAGGAAAGCTTGGGAAAGTTAAGTTTTCTTCCACTGTGGATGTTACCAGACTCATAGAAAGCACCGTTACCTGCTGAGTCTGCCTCTAAAGAGTTTATTGTTAAAGTGTTTTATAGTCACTGCAAAAACTAGAAGTTACAGAAATATCAAATAAATCTCCCCCTGTCCTCACGTACATTCAGCCTCCTGCATGTCCAATACGCTCAACTATAACTCTCAGCAACATTAAATAACCATTGTTACCAGTGTCCCCAGTCCATAATGACAACCCGACAGGAGGCAGCACAGCTGGTTGTTAGTCATTGATTAAATGAAGCAATCGGTAGCATGCACACTAAATAATTCCTTTTTACTCTAAGGTAAACTGGTTTTCATCAGCTCCAAAACAAACATCAGCTTTGTTTTGCTTGAGTAAGTCTTGAGTGGCACATGCAATATTGTATGTTAAATATTGATACTAAACACTTGGTATACATCCTGAGAAGCTTTCCCTCTGAGCAAAGCTTTCTGAGCAATTGTGGCCACAGGAGATTTAGTGAGGCCAGGCCCAGCAGCTGTCCTC